TGTTCTGCTCAAGGCCATATTGATCAACACCCGAACTTCCAAGTGACACTGGGTCTTAACAGCCTAAACTACATTCGAGCAATCACTAGTTGTATCTGAATCGCCCTTGGATTGTGTGATTCAGTCCTTTTGTTAACCGACTTCAAATTTTAGTGGAATTATTTTTCAACTAGGCTAGGCCCGTGTGGTTTTTTCCCTTTCTAATTGTGTTCACGTTAAAAAATTCTTGCTTTCTCTGTGCGGTGTTGTGAGCTAGTTATCCGTACAACGCTAAGACATAGAATTAAATCTCTAATCGCCGCGCATTTTCTAGCCGCAAAACTAATAATAATAATTTTTTTTTTAAAAAAAATAATAATAATAATAATAAGATTAATAAAAAATGATCGTATGTATTCGATTTAATGAGAATTTGACTCTTAATAGGACCCAAACTGAGAAAAAATAATTCATGTAGCAGCCCCACGTAGTATAAATGTTTATGTTGTTGGTTGTATATGGTTATTTTATTGCATTAAAAAAAATTTTCATTTTACTATTCCTAGAATATTTAAGATTTTATGAACAATTTTTAACATGGAAACACAAATCATTTCCATTTTTTAAAAAACCCAAGAGAAAATGCACTTTTGTTTGTTTTCATCGAAAACTTAAGGCTTCTTAGAAGGCTTTTTTATTATTTTTAACAACTTTTATACAAACAAACTGTTTGTTTAAAAATAATAAAAATTATTATCAAACTGAGCTTAAATCTGAATTGCATTTTATGAGAAATCAAATTTACTATTGCGTTTTCATCCCTTTCAAAATTTAATTTTAATTACGTTCCTAATACAAAATTAAACATATAAGCCGGTCCTTTTAAAAAACTTTGCGTATGGAAGTCCACCTTGTCATTTAAAAAAAAAATACATATTTTCAATACTATATAATAATACATATTCAATAACTATACTAATATATTAATATATATATATATAACTATATATATATATATATATATATATATATAAAATTATATAATTATACAAAATCAATATTTAATACAGTATTATATTATAGTAATTAATAAGTAACCATAACGAAAAACAAAAAAATCGCCAGAGTTATCCAAACCGTCCAAACTCCTCCAATCATGAATCCATCTCTAATCCCAACAATCTACACTAGAGCAACGTTTAGCCAATCAAACCGCATTATAAGCGGGCCCCAAATCTATTCTAGCTTAGACTTAAGAGAGTCGAAACTTTGGTCACTTTTTAGGTGTTAATACACTATCCGCCTCCAGTACCCACGCTCCCTTCCGCCTCCCTTCCCGTACCGTCTGAGCCCCGTTCATCGCGCCCGCCAATTTTTTCCCTCCAAAATTCCCACGAGGTGATCGTATCTGCCACTCTCAACTCTCCTGCTCTTTCTTCCACTTTATATATAACCTCCACTTTCTTCTTCCTCAGAGACAAAACTTGTTACAAAATCGAAACACAATGGCAGTAATCAGAGAACGAAGATTCCCTAAGGGAAATCTCACCCTCGACCTCTCCCGCCAGGATTCAACGGCCGGCACTGATTGCTGCCAGCGCTTCAGTTTGCCGCAACTGGCGGCGTTGCCGACTGCCGCCGTTCCTTCCGGCGGCGAGCATCGGCTATCAGACTTCGAAAAGATCAAGGTACTGGGTCATGGAAATGGAGGAACCGTTTACCAGGTCCGACACCGCCGCACCGGGTGCGTATACGCTCTCAAAACGCTCACAGCCGATGACTCTCTCCGGCGACGACAGATCACACGTGAGGTTGAAATTCTCCGCAGCACCGATTCCCCCACCGTAATTCATTGCCACGGGGTAATGCCCACCACCTCCGGCGACGCTGCCCTGCTCCTCGAGTTTATGGACGCCGGATCACTCGAATCCCTCCTCGCCCGCCGTGGCGTCCCATTCCCTGAATCGGCCATTGCTGGAATCGCCCGCCAGGTCCTCCACGGTCTTTCGTATCTTCATTCTCAAAAGATCGTCCACCGCGACATTAAGCCCGGGAATCTCCTCGTCAACACCGCAGGCGAGATTAAGATCGCCGACTTCGGGGTGAGCAAAATCATGCGCCGATCTCTTGACCCCTGTGTCTCCTACGTCGGCACGAGCGCGTATATGAGCCCGGAGAGGTTCGATCCTGATTCGTATGGTGGCCACTACGACGCCTATGCGGCTGATGTATGGAGTCTGGGGCTCACCGTGCTGGAGCTCCATCTTGGTCACTTTCCCCTGTTGCCGCCGGGGCAACGACCGGATTGGGCGACTCTTATGTGTGCAATTTGCTTCGGCGAACCACCGGAGCTGCCAGAGACGGCTTCCAACGACTTCCGGGACTTTATCGGCCGGTGCCTACAGAAGGAATCGAGCAAGCGGTGGTCGGTGGCGCAGCTACTTGCGCACCCCTTCATTGCTGGGTGGGACCACGGGGAGTCGGTTCTGGTCTTTCGAGAGATAATTTCGCCGGTACAGTCGCCGGCGGAGTCATGAGCCGCCGCCGGCTAGAAGAAGCGGCTGATTTTGTGAATTTGTACATAAATGGCTTCTAAGTTCTAACGAAACTTCGCTGCCGTCTCGTCTTTAGGGTTTCTGTCAACCTTCCCCAAAATTTTTCATTGATTAAGATATCTCAAATTGAGATTTTTTTTGTTTTTCTGTATTGAGAAAGCTAAATGGAACTGTCTCTTCACTCAAGTGAGACCAAAGAAAAGCTTCAATTGTAAATCTCGTTTTTTTAGGAGTTAATTAATTTTATTTGTAGCTAAAAGGTTACACTGCCAAGCCCTCCATTACTTTTTTTTTTATGATTTAATATTATTAATTGTTGTAAATCCATCCTTATAAATTATTTTTAACTTAATATTAATCATTCAAAATAAAATGAACGAATAAAAAAAAATATTCCAATCATGCGAATTGATCTAAATTATCGGTTGGACTTCGAATTTCTCATTTCAAAAGCAATTTGGGTTTGATATCGCATGGACCAATTGACAAATCGTTAGTACCGATGATTTGCTCTCGTCCAGATGATCAAACCCAAACCAAATGTTTGCCTAATTGTCTTCCTTTTCCTTCATCGATCTATAAACTATGGTTAATGCTTAATATTCTTCTGTTTAGTGGAGGCTTCATTTGAGACGGTTTTTTTATTGTTTTCTTAAACATTTCAAAAGAAGCTTTGTAGTACAAATTGCTTTACGGAGCAATAAGAAAACCGTCCCAAATGAAGCCAAATATCTATCTTCATATGCATCTCTATTTTGTTGCCACATATCTTCCGATTAGACAAATCTGCTTAATTTGTCACATCAAAGTTAAATAAAAAAATCATATAAAATTTTATGGTACTACATAAATATTTATTTTAACAAGACTTATATGATAAAAAATAAACATGCGGTCTTCTTGCAAGATAAATAAATATTAAAGCTATTTTATACATTTTAAAAAATGTTTTTTATTTGCTTATTTGATAAAAAGAAGATTTTGACATTCATAAGTGTTTCATTTCCAAGTTGCCAGCTTACATTTCATTGCAACTTCCTCCAATTTGAGATAGACAACTAAATATTTTAATTAAAAAAAATTTCTCACGAGTAGCTTTCCCATATATTAAAATATCATATATTTTATCCTTTTTAAATTAAGTTAACCAAAAAAATTTCCAACTTTAATGGATAAATGCTAAAGATAAGGAAAGAAAACAATTTTTTATTTATTTTACAAAAAACAATATGTGAAAATTCATTAATAATAACTTCAAGAAAAAAATTATTATTTTACAAAATAATAAAAAGACAAAAAAAAAAAATCATGATAAAAATTGTTATCTCAAAATGAAAAAAATATGTGACACCTATAATTAATAATGTCCTCCTTAAAATCATAATATATGTCATTAGACATGTTTAAAAAAAATTATAAATATCTTCATTTTCTTATATAAATTCTAGAAATAAGATAAAGTAATCAAATTCATGATATAAATTCTATTAAATTAATAAAAATTATGATGTAAAATTTGATTATCATCTATCATAATTAAAAGCTCCTAATAAAAAATATAACTAATCATCATGATATGGATCTTCATTTCCTTCTCATTAAAGGTTCAATTCCACCCAACTCTCTCTCTCTCTCTCTCTCTCTCTTTTTTTAATTTTTTTTTTATATAAAACTCTCTATCTTACACAACATATCCAAATTCAATGGTGGCATATCCTCCAATGAGCTAACTCCACGAAAATTACCATAATCGTAGTTGAATGAAAAAATTAAATAAAATAATAACAAAGCTTATCATGACACAAATATTTATTTTATATGTATGATATAAAATAAATCTTTGCTTAAAAAATACATTTCTTTATTTATGAAAAGAAGGTTTTCATAGTTATATGTGTTACATTTCTATGCTGCCAACATACAATTCTTTGCAACTTTCCCTCACTTCAAAAAAAAAAAAAAAAAAAAAAAAGAAATGTAAATACTTTAATAGATAGATGCTTAAAATTAAGAAATATTTTCTTTTATAGATTTCTATTTATTATTATTATTATTATTATTATTTTGTTTAGATCTAAATTGAAGAGAAAATCAGATTTACAAAAGAAAAGAAAAAAGAGGAGAGAACCAAAGAGAAGAAACAGCTTAAGTTGTAATGCTTTTGCTATGCTTTCTTAACGGAGAGTTGATATATGCTGAGATTAGTGTAACATATAATTTCTAATTTGTGTATTGATCTCGGCATAAAATGGACGCTATTCAAGACCTTCCTAACTTTTTTTTTGGTAATGTTGAAAAAATAATTTTATGAAAAAAATGAAGTTTCTAAATTAGACCTCATTACGTAATAAAATACAATCTTAATTTACTAAATGATCATCACCGTTGATATATCATAAAAAAAAATCTTAATTGGGCATGAATCTCGAGGCAAGATCAAGTTAGAAACTTCCAAAACTAAATCTGGGACTATCCAAACTCCAATTCCGGTAAATCTATAGTCAAACTAAACGCCTCAAAAAGACAAATCCAACGACACCAAATACAACTCAATCTAAGTGCAAATGGGTCCAAATCGAACACTCAAAGCGCCTTTGGAAGGTTCAAACCATAATTTGGATTACCAATCAATTCCTAAACGTGATATGCTTATAGTAGAATCAAGTGGTTCGACTTGATGATCACCTAATTCTGATATCGTTAAGACATTCAAATGTCCAGTAAATGGTGTATGATCAAGGGGATTAATATTGGCAGTCCATTCAAATCACTCAAACATATCATTGATCTCCATCCTATTTACGGGCTATGCCACTCCCAAAAAAGTATAAATATATTCCTCATTCTTCATTGAGGGGACCCCAAACAAGGAAGAGAAGGGAGAAAAGGAAGAAGGATAAACCAGAATTCTCTTGCCTTGCACTATACTTCTCCTCGACCAACTATCATTGTTGGACTATCGTCGGACGTCTGCCTGGCCACCGATTGACGCTGGACTTCTGCTCGACCACCAGCTATCATCAGACTACCTCCTGGCTGCTAACAGACGCCGAATTTCATTCCGACCACCAAACATCATCGGATATCTATCTAATCTCTGTTTGTCACAAGATTTCAACCGGACAGTTGAATGTTGTAATCTTATTGTCCGCAATTTCTAGAACAAACCAATCATTTTTAATGTATTCAAACACTAATATAAATATTTAAACTAGGATTGGCCCCATAATTTTTCCCTTCAAGATTTTCCACATTAAAAAAATTGGTGTTTCTTTTTTCTCTGTTTGTGTGCTGGATACTCGTGCAACGCTATGACGTTAAGTTTTTCATACTTTACAGCCGTGAATACTTTAGCCCGCAACAACCATTAATGATGTTATATATATATATATATATATATATATATATATATATCACATGAATGAGTTGATTTTTGATCTATTAAGATTTTAGCCTCTAGTTATTTTAACATTTTTTTAATCATAGCCCTCTAACTCTAAGGTGATGTTTGGCATGGACTAAAGCACTGTAAATTAAATATAATAAAATGCAAAAAATTTATTCATTTGAAAATTATCTTCTAATTTAATTTCCATATATTTGATAATCATTAAATTTCATTTGTTTTCAAATATATTACAAATATTATACATGCTTTCAACCTCCAATAACTGCTGACCTCCTCTATTGTCACCTTTCACAATCACAAATCTCAACCTATCTTCATCAACCACTGACGCGCGACACTACTACCGCTACCACGACAATTGTTGGCTACTAACCACCATCATGATTAGACTTTACATAAAATAAAAATAATCAAATAATTTACCTTAAACTCATTCAAATAATTTAAAATAATTCAAATACCTTATATCACTTTTATATTGCAAATCAAACAATCTTAAAAAGACAAATAGGCTTTCATTTGATAACGTTAGTTACAACTAATAAGTACTTTTAGAATATGCATTAAAGGTTAATAGCATGATAATCACTTCCAACAAATATTTTAAAAAGAGCTACTGCTTTTTTTTTATATATATACTTTTTATTTAATAAGCTATATATATTTTTATTTAAAAAGAGCTATTGCTTATTGCTTCTTAAAAAGACTTTTTAGTAAAAAATTAATTACTTATTTTAAGAAACCGAAAGAAAGCCATCCCAAAAAAGTCTTAATTAAATTTCAAAGCCCCCATTTTTTGTTTGCAAAGCATCTCATTTTTTTTTAAATTAAAATCATTTTAAAAAGAGCAAATATTTGATTTCTGCCAGTCCTACAACTTCATAATAATTAGAGTTTTTTTTTTTTAACCAAAGAATATTTAAAAAACTTTTATTTATTCACAAAAACAAAATTATAAAAATAAAGTGCGCATCCGGGGAATCGAACCCCGGTCAGTACCGTGGGAGGGTACTATGATACCACTACACCAGATGCGCTGTCGCAATTCTAGTTAACACAGTTTATATATAACCTAAATTACGTATGTCAGAAGGCAATTTATATAAGCCCCGCCTCACACCATCAAATAGGCTTTTAATTCATAATATATTTTTTTAAAATTGAAAAGTAGAAAGTCGAAAGAAAGTGATAATTAATATGAAAAATTCTTATATAAGTAGGGCTGCAAGAGAATCAAACGTTCGATGACCCACTTGTTGTTCGGTTTGATTAAAGCTCGTTTGTGATCGTTTAACTAGCTAAATAAATAAATCTGAATAATATTTTTAATTCTCGATCCTTAAATAAACAAGTTTGAACACTAATGTGTTTGGTTCATTTATGTTCACAAACAACATCATTTGAAGCTCGTGAACATGCTTAACATTAAGCTAGATAAGAAGTTCTATTTGTGTTCAATTTAGAACTTGTGAATAAGCTCGATAAAAACTCGATTAATATTTAATTATAAAATTGATAAATATACATAATATAAATATTTTAATTTATTCTAACATAATGTTATAATTATTTTTAATTGATAAAATTTAAAGTAATTAAATATTATAATATATGTTGTTCTTTTAATTTTCTTACAATTGCTAATTTATTATATTAACTTGTTAGATCTTACTCTTTTGATAGCTCAAGAATACTCGTTAGATTTGTTTATGAACATGTTTGTTTAATAGTTTAAAAAATTTCGCTAAATATGCTCACGAATAAAAGTAGATAAGCACTAAACTAACCGGACAAAACATGAAAGCCATTAATTGAAACAAA